GGGGGGTCGATTCGGTAGATGGAGGGGGGGGCTGTTTTGGCTGGGCGCGGGGTATCCAAGCAGCAGGGGCGCGAAGTGGGAGACTCAGAATTACAAACGTCGCTGTCTGGGAAGGGGGAGGGAGAGAGGAGATAGGGACACGTGGGCTGCAGATAAAGCCCTCGACAGTTTCAGTTGCTGGCGCAGAAACCAGCAACAAGCCAGACTCGCCCTGCTTCCCCCCCTCCTAGAGAAGCCGGCAAGAAAGTCATGGTCACGGTTTTACGACAGATTAAAAGGTCCTTGTGTGCACGAACCTCTGGTGTGGACACCAAAGGAGGACTCTGGCGGGAAGGTTCCGCACTTCCGTCGTCCTTTCCTTCAACATGTGCATCATGAATTCAAAAGAATTTTAGCTGTTTAAAAAAACAAAAAACCACCCATTCCAAATTAAGAAGTCAGCATGACATTTGGTTCTCTAGTGCAGTACATTTTTGCCCCACTCTGCTTCCAAGGCATTCCGGGTAGCATATACAATTCTCCTTTCCCCATTTTATAATCACAACAATCCCTTAAAGAAGATTAGGCTGAATAAGGCTCAGGAGAGAGTGAGGATTTGAACACAGAACTCCATCTAGCACAAATGAATATAGCACTTTGGGACTGGGGACTGCATCATAAAATTAAAGATGCCCACATCTCCAAGAGAAACAGAATGACAGCCCATTAAATATAATTTATTAAATTCTCCCAGATCTATTCTGGAAGGCCCACAACTAATATGTGCAGGACCCTGCTTAGCACTGTTCAGGTGCTTTCTTAGATCTATCATATCCTGATACAGAATGTGTTTATTTTATTTACTTCATTTATGCCACGCCTTTTCCCCCAATAGGGATCCAAAGCAGCATATATCTGCCTCTCTAGATGGAGATAGCTTATAACAGGATAAATATCAGTAAATTGGGAGGGGGCACAATAAGGCAGCAAAAGAAAAAAATTTGGAGATTAAAAACATTAAAATAGTATTGGATTAAAAATCGGGCTAAAAATTTGATTCCCCACTCCAACCCCCCCTGCAGAAGAAGACCTTTTAAAAGCAAAAAAAGCACAATATCTAGAATGATTAATAAAACCATATGGGTCAGGGGGACCATCTAAAATGTAAGAGAAAATAAGAATTTTGCCAGGCACCTAAAAGTCTGTAAATTCAGCACCAGGAAAGCTCTTGTGGGAAGGAAATTTCTCAACCTGGGTGCCACTGTTGAAAAGGCCCTGTCTCTAGTTCTCACCTCCTAGCCTCTGGTAGTGGGGTGTGTGTGTGCAGAACAGGGTCCCTTAATTGGCAGGGACACAGGTAGGAGATTGTCATTTTGAAGTCCTCTAAGCCCAGACCGTGTAGAGCTTTATAAGTAACAACCAGCAATTTCAATTGTGCTTGGAATCAACTCAGGAACCAGTGAAAATTTGTTAGAATTGGCAAGCTAGGATCTTTATAACTTGGACTTGCTCACAGCCTAGCTGCTGTGTTTCGAACCAGCAGAAGCTTCTGGACAGTCTTCATAGATTTCCCCACACACAGCACAATGATCCAACCTGGATATAATCAGAGCATACTTAACTATAGCCAAATCATGCCTCTCAAGGAAGAGCTGCAGCTGGGGGACTGGGTTTTTCAAAGCTCACCTCCCACACTCTGAAAATGGCCTCCTCAAAACACAGCTATCTGCCCACTGTGTGTGTTCCTCGGGAATCCAGTGTGTAGGCTTCTGCTACAGTGCACAATAAGGCTATGATCCTAAGCATGCTTACTTAGAAGTAAGCAAGGAAACATACAAGTAAAGATAGTTGGGTTTGGGAGTGGATGAATGTTTTCCACATCCCCCTTCAGTCGCTTAAAGGGTCATCTACCTACCTACCTACCTACCTATTCTCAATACCCCACAGAGTCTTGCTAATACTGTGTGCAAATTAGATAAAGCAATTATGGTAATGCATGGTTGTGGAGGGCGAGATGAAGTCATATACTAGAAAATGATCTGGAGTAGGGTTTTATTTTTTTTACATATCTCAGTAAACTTGCTGGATTGCCTGGCCAATTCTTGTACCCAAGAGGAGATGGGGAGGAAAATTCCCATCATATCTTGAATCTAGAAAAGCCCATGCTCCGTGCACAAGTAACATTCTCACAAATATTACATTACAGAAGATGATTGATCATATATAAACATCTGGCTTATGGTTCAGATTCAGGTTGGACATGGGAAGGCCACAGGGAAAACAAGCAACTAGGAGATGACTGCAGGCGCAAGAAAACAATCAGAACTCCCCTTGCATTGCTGGACATGAATGAACACACGTGGACACATGATGCTGCATTCTATGGAGTCAGGCCACTGGTTATCAAGGTTCGTGTTTGCTCTGACTGGCAGGATCTCAGGTCTTGTATATCACCTACTACCCAATCCTTCTAACTGAAGACAGCATGGATCTAACCTGGGACCTTCATGCAAAGCAGAGTCAATGCCTGCCCCCCTCACCCCGCCCCAATTCTGATAGGGGAGGAGGAACTGAATGGCCAGGGCAATCCATAATGGAACGTTTTCGTTCTGGCTTTTGCAGTTACGATGAACCTTCTGGGCACTGATCAGCAGGCTTCCCTTGGCTCCTCCCCAAGCCACAACCCAGCCCAGAATGAGGCTTGCTGAAGCCTTGCAATAAGCCCTGTTTGCTGGGCTAAATTGTGGCTTCAAAATGTTAAGGGCCACCCAAGCAGAAAATATTACAAGTCCAAAGAAAGCATTGACGTGATAGAACATTTGTATTTGAACCCTTCCCCACTTGGACCTGATCCTGACAATCATCACTTTCCTGTCCTTACAGAAAACAACGGGCTGAGGGTGCGTGCTGATTCCCCAAAGATTTGTTACAGCTCTCCCAATAAGTCACACACGCATGCACACACAGAGTGTTCCATAATAAGACTTAGCATATTTCAGATTCATACCATTTCCTATACGTTACTCAGCATATCTCTACAACAGTCCTGTGGTAGGCCTCTTTGCAGGGGCTGCTACCTGGCGAGTCCATGGCTGAAGTAAGAGCTGAACATGTTGAGATTTGCCAGGTCACATTCTTAGCTACTCTCATATACCAGATCTTCAGTTCTCCCACATACCTCTGTGTCCCTATTCCCCCCCCCCAACCCCTAGCTCCCATTTTACTATACTGGTCAGCAGTGGGCTCATTCTCAATTTTGTTTCCACTCATTAAAAATTGCTAGGGCCACCCCACATTCTATTGATGCATTTAACAAATAGCTATCACTATTGCACATGTCTGTAGACCTATATTGTTATAAGACTAGCATATAGGCTGTGGGCTTTTCTTAACATCCTGGGGTCTGGAGTCCATGGAGTTTCTTTAAAGAAATTAACATGGCCGACAAATGTTTAAAGCATCGGACAAAGGAATGTTATTTTCTTTGCTGTTAAGTATAATGACACTCAGCACCAAAGCCAATTAGACTGATATAAAGTTGCCTAATTTGAGCAATTTGTTGCCTGATAATGTAAAATGGCACACTCCCTCCCTTCCCCCCTCCCCGTTTATGACTCACTTGTGGAAGTAATCTATATGCCATCTGTAATTCATGTTGGTTAAGTAACATTGCAGATAAGGCATTTTGTGACGGGATCATTTGCTTTCATTTAAGAAAGGAATGCTGCTGGAGACCTTCAGTTCTTCTTCAGGCAGAAAGGATGGATCCCAGGCCTATAGTAAATGTTGTGCTGACTCTGCTTAGACAGGGAGAAACTACCAGATGTTTAATAACTATCCAGATCTTTTCCCAAGGGAATGGTAGACTACAGAACATGCTCTGACAGTTGCAAAGATCTTTTAACAGTAAATATCTGAGTCAACGTTGTGTGTAACACATCTGTGGTTTTTATTTTCAAAATTTAAAGTACTGGTCTACTTATTCTTGTATACGGCTACCAGAATCCATAGATAAAGATGAACACACCCAGTGGCATCTGAAGATGGGTCTAGCCCATTACATGGGGCCATCAAAACATAGGTAGATGAAATGTGCAGTCTGAACTTTTCATCAGAACACCAGGTCAACATCAGAATGTAGGTGCAGATTTGCAGACCAGGATCTGCATTTGCTGTGCATGTACAAAGCCTGCATGTGTACATGTTGGATTTGGGCAAGTGAGTTTTGATTTAAATTACAGTCCTCAGTTCTTTATTTACGTCACATACTTTTCTCCTCGAAGCGGCTTACGACATTTTCCCCTCCTCCATTTTATCCACGTAGCCCTGTGCAGTAGGTCAGGCAAAGTCAGTGTGATTGGCCCAAGGTTATCCAGCGAGCTTCCTTAGCAGAGTGAAGTTCTGTTCCTCGTCTGACACTCTAACCCCTATACAGCACTGTCTTGGTTTTTTGCGATCCAATTTTCAAAATAATCTATGGTTCTGCAGGATTTCCCCCCTAATGGAGATTTTAACCCTTTTTTTTCATTTTCTTTTAAGACTTATGTGTTACATTGTTT